TTTACTAATTATTGATTTATTTTTGAATTTTTTTCTTTACAAAAAAAAACCAGATGATAAACCATTAGAGTGTACATGGCCTGGTTGTGAGTCTAAATTTAATCGTCAAGATAAATTGACCAGACATGAACGATTACATACTGGTGAAAAACCATATAAATGTGGACATTGCAAACAATGTTTCAATCGATCCGGTAATCTAACCAGGCACAAGAAACAAAAACATAAAGGTATGCTGAAAACATTTTGTTTATTTATTAATTATTGATTTAATTTTGAATTGTTTATTCGTATAAAGATTTATGTGGATTAATAAAATCCGAAAGACATCAAAAGAAATGATAAAAATGGTATCAAAAAATCAATGTGATTTGGTGGTAATATCGGAACCACCGAAAAAATTCCAGGAAATTTTTTCAAATTTTACCATTATTTCACCGCAAAACAACCTACCTCGAGCCATAATCATCATCATCGACAAAAACCTTATTTGAAAAGGATTTCATTTATTGATGTTTAATAATGATAATTTAAAAATACAAAAAAATAGACAGAAAAACGTTGTGTGTAAAAAATGTGTGTTGTTGTTGTAAAAGAAGATGATGTGTATGTGTTTGACATGATATGTGATGCTGATTCAGACAGGGGTTTCGATTTGTTTTCACGCTCACCGATCCAGTGTCGGCCGATTTCATCGCGACCAAATCACAAGCTAATTTCAACCGAAACTAATCATCCATGTTTCATGGCCAAACAATGTTCATCAAACACCCGTCATTCTTGCGAAAAGAATTAATTATGAAGGATGAAAACAAATTTATTATTGTGTCTTATTATTTTAAATGATGGTTCCGTTACATTCGACAATAATCATTCTCAAAGTCATATTGATTTGACAATAATTAATCAACGTGCTTCGCTGTTGATAAATGATTGGAAAGTCGAAGATTGCGAATCTTTTTCTGATCATAAATTAATTTCTTTCATCTATAATTCATGTACGAAATTTTGTCCTGTCTCTTTAACCAAGAAATATTGTTCCAGAAATGTTGATTGGTTTAATTTTCGAAATTCTTTATTGTCTTTGCTTCCTCTAGTAGAACAAAGTGAAAATTCTTTGGATTCTGCAAGGTTAAATAGTTTTGTTGAAAAACTAACGGAACAAATAATCAATTGTTGTGAAGAATCTTTACCGAAAATTTCTGTTAAACCGAAGATGATGAAGTTACCAACCGATTTGTTACGTCTTAAATCTGTTTTAAACTCTGTTCGTCGTCGCTTCCAAAGACAACGCTGTCCGATTATCAGACAATCTTGGCGTTTACGGTACTTAGAGATTGTTAAATCCTTCAAATTGGCGGTAACAAATTGGCAAACCAAGAAATGTCGTGATTTTCTTGCTGGACAAAATTCTGATTCGATATGGAAGAAAGTATTTCGGGAGTGCAAAAATGGAATGGATATAAATTTGACTTTAAAACGATCCGTATTGGAAATAGATGGACATCGAGTCCTATGGAAACAGCTATTCATTTATTGGATAATTTTTTCCCGGATAATACAAATGATCTTGATTCTTCCATTCACATTCATTATACATCATCAAATACTGATCATCCAATTACTTTTGATGAAGTAGATAATGCTATTAAAGCTGAAAATGATAATAAATCTCCCGGTTATGATAGTTTGTCGGCAAATATTTTAAAAATTATTCATGATGTTTATCCAAGGTTATTTTTCAATTTATTCACCAATTGTTTTAATTGCGGTATTTTTCCGGATTGTTGGAAAATTGCTGTTTTGAAATTATTACCGAAGAAAAATGATGATAATACTTATAAATCTTTTCGACCAATTTCGCTTCTGCCGGTACTTGGGAAAATATACGAAGGCATTGTGACTAAAAAACTTCAATTTTATTTATTGTCCAACAATCTTTTATCTACTAGACAATTTGCTTTTTTTGCCTGGAAAATCATCAGTTGATGCTATTGGTGAAATTGTTTCGAAAATGGAATCGGTACTTTAAAATAAATCTTTTGGTATTCTTGTCTCTTTAGATTTTACTGGTGCCTTTAATGGGGCAAATTTTGATATTGTTTTGTAACGTCTACGTCGTTTTAATGTTCCTACTAAAATGTTTTGAATTTTTGTCAATTTTTTCAAGTTAATTTGATAACACTTGGATTTGATCAAATCAAGGATTCAAACATATCTTTCTAATCATTTTGTTATCATGAATTATTTTGATAAAAATTTTATCTTTAAATTATTTCTTTTTTTTCTTTAATTTTTATATGAAGAATTTGACCGATTGTAAAAATTTTAAACAATATTCTGGATTCTGGAGGATTCTGTATAAAAAATTGCTCTCCGTTCGGTTGATTAATATAGCTCGACTAATCTTGCTTTGCTAATGAATCGTTGACTAACCTAGCTCGACTAATGAATCGTTGACTAATCTAGCCCGACTAACAAAAAAAAAATGAAAATGATGTTAGTGAACATTACTGTTTTTTATCTGTTTGCAGGAGTAGAGGTAGCAATTGAACTGATGACTATTGACTATTAGTCAGTTAAGAATAGAACAACTATAGTTTAATCTTTTCTCAACATTATCACACATTTTTATAACATCTTATCGCCCACTTCATTTTTTAATGTTGAACGTTTACTCATCTTTTGAACTTTTTTTTTCCTTTTCATATTTAAAATTCAAGTTTATTTCATTTCGAATATTCGGTTTTCATTTGTATATAAGAGAGAGAAAAATGCTTTTCGATTTCCCAAAAAAAAAAAACATTTAAAATCTGAATTGATTTTGAAATTTTTTTAAAAATTATCGATCGATTAAAAATGAGTTTTCGAGGACGATCTCGTGCACGTTTTGGTTTTCGTGGTATGGCCAGTTCATCTGGTTCATCACATCAACAACAACGCGAACAATCAGAAATTGGACAACCAAAACAAGAAGAAATTCGATCACAAATTTCTGAATTATCAATTCAAGGTATTTTAAATGATTTTTTTTTTTAAATTGTTTTTCATAATTTAATTATCCCTAGAACGTAGTGGTCTAACAACACATGAACTTCGATCAACAAGACGTCCTTCAGTTAGTTCTCGAGAACAAAAAGATCAATCCAGTAGCCGACGTGATGATGAAGACCCAAGTAGCTATGGTGAACGAAGTGCCGGACGTGGAAACAGTGATCGTGGTAGCGGCCGTGGCGGTTTAAGTGGTGGCCCTGGTGGTGATCGCATGGCACCAAAAAGTTTTTCATCATATCCGGAAACACAGGAATATCCCATTGTAATGCCTAACGAAGTCGAACGCGGCGTCAAAGGTCGTAAGATTGAATTATTGGCAAATTACATGCGGGTTAATGTTCAACCTACTATCGTCTATCAATATAATATTGATTTCAATTTCAAAGACGAAGATGAACGAGC